TCTCCGGCCGGTTGTTGATTCTTCCTTTTTTCTTGGGTTGTTGTTTGGCACTGCCGGGCCGGGTGTAAGAACTACAAAAGTTTTCTTTTGGGTCTTCGTCGTCGTCAACATCGCTTTACATAGAGTGTTCTATGATAACGCCAATATCCATACATGTGTGTGTGTGTGGGCCGCAAAGTGTTTGTGTGTATGTGTGTCGGTTTGTTTTCAAATTTCCTTATACTCAATAAAACTCTTCCGAAAAAAGTTGTATTTTTTTTCTACAATGGAAGTATGGTTTTGTTTCTTTTGCATAGCAAACGCATACATCGACACAATGTATGTACACACACACATATGAACGCAACACAAAACCCACACGCACAAATATTTTTATAAATCAACATACCTATACACATACATATGCAGACTTTTGATATAAAGGGCCAAAGGGTATAATTTAAATCTTTAAATAAAATAAATAACAACAGCAACAAACACAAAAACAACAAAAACCGAAACAACATTTGCAAGAACAACAATGATCATCCAAACAAAAACATCCATCCATACATATGCACACACACACACACACGCACACAAGTTGGCATGCGAATTTATACCCCACACACACACAGACACATGCTACACGAGGATTTACAAATTGAGTGAACATATGCATATGTGTGTGAGTGTGACCCACACATAAAACTTGTGTTCGAATATCTCCGCAAAAAGTTAAGGATTATGACGCATAAACAAGACAAAGGATTGACACAAATGGGATTTCAATGCGAAATATCCATTCGAAATGTGTTGAAAATCACATGCCTAATATGTCCTTCAAGAATGTGAAACATATGGCTGACGAAGGGAGTTGTTTTGAAATTGAAGCAGTTGTAAATCAATTGCATTTTTTATGAATAAAGACTGGAAGTAGCTCTATCTAGTGAAAGTAATAGACAAGGTGTTCGTATGGGTACGTGATGTTTGGTACCTCAAGTTTTATTATACCCACTATGTTTTGGGGGGTATTATAAGTTTGATTGGGCCAAAAATTTTGTTACACCTCGAAATATTGGTACCCAACATAGGAAACTACATATGGATCTTTCTATCTCGCCGAGCTGAGTCGATCTAGCTATGTATGTCCCTCCGTCCGCCTGTCCATAATTTGTTATCATGCTACAGGAAGCAATTATGGCCCGATCCCCATGAACTGTAAAATGGAATTGAGATAATCGAAAAATAATTAGGAGTTGAAATGGACGAATAACAGAAAAATTTCCGGATTTTGCTGATGCTCTACCGGCCAAAATAATATAGGAATCGACGCGGGATGGAGTTAGGGTTTAGGGCTGGGCAGAAGCCTACCAATTTGGACTGTTGTCGGAAAGTATTTAGCGGGTAAAATAAACCATAACTTTTGTGTCAAAAACACGAACATTTTCACTAAATCCCGAGTATTTTTAATTCCGGCCAAATCACAAATACATTAAGAGGTCACTTCTGACCATTACAGAGATGCCGATAGCCAGGATATCGGATATATAGCAAGATAGGTATAATATATATGTAAAAGAAATAGATCTTAGTTATTCTGCTTATAAGTCAAGAATCGCTGGACTGATTTTCACAATTCTCATCAAGTCGGAATGGTCTCTTGGCAGAAAGGGATAAAATTTAAGAAAATCGCCTAAGAATTTGCCGATAAAAAATGAATATTTTTTTTAACATTTTTTTTTTTTTCAAATTAGTCAAATTTTTATCACATGCGATTTTTTCAATTTGACTTACAATTTGGATTTGAATATTTCCTAAAGTTTTTCTACACCCCGCAACAATTTGTGTTAGGGTATTACATACAGGTCGCAATTATCGTTCGATCCTCACAAAATTTTGCATAAGCGTAGGGTTTGGGTCAGAATTAAAGCCTATTGTTTTTGAAGATGTACATTTAGGGGTTCAAATGGACCAACAAAAATTAAAATTTTGCAGATTTTACAGTCGCTCTATAGGTCACAATTAAATGCATGAGAAAAGAGAAGAAGTGTAGCATTTTGGATGACAATTGCATTAAATTTACCTGTAAAATGGACCACAACTTTCGTGTGAAATAGTTTTGAATAACTAACAACACGACGGAGTGCTAAAACATTGGGCATATGCCCCCGGTCAGAAACCTAAGGCAGGGCTCTATGACATTATTTCAAAAGAAATCTTCCAAAATAGATTTGGACATAAGAGGGCTTCCAAAATATTGTAGTGTTGTAGGGTATCACATAGTCGACCCTGCACGATTATAGCTTTTGCTTAGTTGGGATTGTCGCCAGAAAAACCTTGTTTTTATAAAAACAACAATAAAGGAATTACGCCTGACCATTTTGCAACAACAAAAAACTATTGTATCCCGAACAAACAAGCCAACACTGTTCTAGAGAAAATTGTCCAGGTTTTCGTACATCCCCCATATAACTGTACCTCTATTAATACCTTTATTTAGTATGTTTATGATTTTACCGACATTATTTACTAGATCTTTTTCAAATTTCGTACTTGAAGTTCGTAATGGGTACTACAGCCTATGACAGAAAATTGCATATGCAGGTCCATGTCTTTGTATAGCCCCCATATAACAGTACCTCCCTATATTCGGAATTTTGTTGATTTCAGCGATACTATTCACCGGAATTTTTCAAATTCTATGACAGAAAATTGTCTATGCAGGTCCAGATCTTAGTTTAACCCCTAAATATCGGTACCTCCCTATATTCGGCGTTTTGATGATTTTTGCTATTTAATTCTCCGGAATTGTTTCTAATTTCGTATTTGCACTTCGATATGGGTACTACAGCCTGTGACAGAAAATTGCCCATTGTAACCATTCACATCTACCAGCCATCTCCAATTTGACAATTGCCAATTAAATTACTTTTTTTGTCCTCCTTCCGTCTCGTGGATCTATTCCTGTACGCCAGCTAATGAACTTTCTCAATTTAGGCAAAGTAAGAGACCATGGAAATAAAAAACCCAACAACTTAATGAGTTACACTTCTTCGCCGCCATAATCAAGTTGAATTTCTTTTAATGACGTTGTCACCAATCTAACCACATAATGTGCCCGATTTCCTGCCAACAGTTTCTTGGTGAATGCCCGCTCCCAGATGGAAGCTGAAACAACGGACATTTGTAAAACCACAACAACAGGTTGATTGACAGTTATGTGAGCGAACTAACTGCAGCCTGCCAGCGAACAAGGCAGCCAGCTAGCCAGGCCCAGTACAAGAACGGGCTGCAATTTGTGGACGTCCAACATCCGTTCTGCATAAAAAAGTAATCTACATTTAATTATTATCGTTAATATTAGTAATTGTGAGTAATTTCTATAAAACAATTTAAATGTTGGGGCAACGTTGGTACGTCTGTCTCGACGGCACTCATTTGGCATGACGTTTCAGTTGGCTCGACATTGAGCCAACTATCTACCGAACGCTGCGCCATGACATCAGTGGTGAGCGGTGGCAGCTTGCACAGACTGAACTGGCGCAAGGCAGGCGCAGCAAACCAAGAAATGCTGTTAAATTGCCAACGGCGATATTTATGTTGCTGTTGCCAGTTTGGGCAGCTACACCACACCGCTGATGCTGTTGCTATTGCTGTCGGTGCTGTTATGTTACCTGTGGCACATTTACTTCCTCCCCGCTGTTTTTTGTTGTGAACATTTCTTTTCCTAGCAGCTCCACATCACGCTGCTCACACTCACCTACTCGCCCAGCCTGTGCCAGTGAGCCAGCTGGTTCACCTCTCCAACTAAGCAATTTTTATAAAATGTTGTATTTTTTCAATGTTGTTGCAGCGATAGAGGCGGCAACATCTGCGGCATTATCATTCTTGTTTCTGTTGTTCTTGTTGTTGTTGCTGCTGCTGGTATTGTTGATGATGATGCCATACAGTCACCCAATACAGCTACTGTTGTTTATAATGACAATGATTATGAAGAAAATAATTAAAAGCCTCCAGCAGAACAGAAAAAAAAAATACTTTTTTAGTATTTTAGATATACTCGTTGAATAGATGGATGGATGGTTGGTTGGCTGGCTGGCTGGTTGAACAGTTGGTTGGATGGATGGATGTATTCTTTACTTTTTACAAAGAGAGTAATGTTCGAGACTCGCCCAGAGCCATGATAGTGATGAGCAATTCGTTGACTAAAAATAAAGGGGTTATCAATGAACGGGACAGTGGACGAAGGGCAGAAGAGGTAATCGGATGTAATTGTTGACGCAAAGGCTGGAATTACTGGCATATTTAGCGTGGACTATCTATCATAGGGGGTTAACAGTTATCCGGTAATATACCATTGGAACTTTAAACGTTGGTCAGATTTAGAATGTTTCTTCCGAGAGAAGTACACAAATCTTTATTAATAAAAGATTAAAGTAATTTACAGACTGACTAAAGGATTCATGAACGCCCAGACCAAATGGCCGAAGCTAGAATATTGAAATTTTGGGTGAGGGTCACTCTTGGTCCGAAGGGGTCTTGTAAGACTGGGTTTATGGAAATTCGTAGTAGAAGAATACAAAAAGTATTAAAAGGTACTAAATATGGTAACCTTTGTATTTGAGGAAGCAGTAGAACTCCTAAATTTGGAATAAGGGTCACTGATGGAGTGCATGATACGAAAAGACCTTTTGGTACCTGTTAATGTCAATACCGTGGGTGAAAGGAAAATATCCTAACTTCTGGCATCTCAGGTTTTCCTGATTCCTTTTCAGTGATTTTCCTCACAAACACTTTGACATTGCCGCTTACTTATCCGTATATGTATGCGTTCTGCTTTCATTTTCGAAACATGTCGTCTGTGCTTTCACGGACTTTTTCTTTTTCTCCTTTTACTTACTTACAATTCAACCATTGTTACAAGCGGTAAGAATTCGTTTCAACAAACCTAAAAATTTTCTTTCAATAAAGGATATTTCTATTGTTTAATTCAAAACTCTAATCCTTTTGTGTTTTTATTCCATTCTTTTTTTTTCCTATACATCCTGAAATCCATCTGGGAGAAATATTGTTTTTCCACCAATATTTCTTTGGTTCGGTTTCTAAGCGCCTTCATTTTCTACAGGAAAATTACCGACGAATCCCTGGTATTTTCATTTGGTCCTCACGATCCGGATAAGCTTAAGCCGAAATTTCTGTTCCAGTTTGGATTAACAACTTTACTTATATTTCCTTTTTCATCAAACTTGAGGTAAGTTTGTGCTTTCGTTCCTTTAATTATAAAAGTGCAAATTTTTCCTAAAATAAAAAGTGCATTTGCCGTCGGCAAAACATCATTCTTTTTCAATACGCGTTTTGGTGGAAGAGTGTCCGCGACAATTCAATATTTAAGAGAACAGTGCATTTGAATTTCATTTAAGGAATAACTCCTCTTAAAACTTCATTTCGAATTAAGAGCATTATTTGAGTTATTTACATTATTCTTTCGATCAACGCTACACAAATTTAAAGTTTGCGCTTAATTGTATTTGTGATCATTTTGTGCTTTAAAATCAAGTGACAACAACAATTCATTTTTCTTCGTATTCTCATTGTTTTCATTGCTGCTGTGTTTGGTGATGTTGCATTGAGTGATTGTTGTTGTTTTCTTTCGCTCTCCCTATCCCATCTCATCCATATGTGCATAGGGTTCACCAATTCGAAAGTCGACCTTTAGTACTTCTTAGTATTGAACTAAATATAGGGGTCTCCAATTCGTTTTTCGTATCCGTTGAACCGACTAGTAACCGGTTCCATTCATTGAATATTTTTATTTTTCTTTCTTCATCAATAATAATTCGTTTTTAAATATTTCTTGCGAAAATAATTATATTAATTTTTAGAAAAATAATAATTAAATTTCAAGTATATATATATTTTTTTTTATCATAATAAATATTTTTTCTATATATATATTTCTTGGAAATAAATATATCTGTTGAAAGTAAATATTAATAAACAATTTCCTTTTTTTTTTGAATACCAGTCGTTGAATAATTTAGAGGATTTAACCCTAAAATTACGTTTTTTGCTTCATTCTATCGTTTTTGAACATTTTTCGAGGTTTGTTTTTGGTTTTTTTTTTTTTTTTGATAATAAATTTGATATTTCCAGAAAAGTTTCAATTTATTTAATTCGGGTTTGCGATTTTGATTTTTCTATTTGATTCGCAATTGTTCATTTCAAAAATTTTCTTCCTTTTCTGATTCTAAGTAACTTATTCCAAAATGTCTCTCGACTCATTCATTCGTCTTGCCGATACCATCGTAGGATTTGACTCGGATATTAGTGATAATCTCCTTCCAGTCAACTCCATTCATTCTGTCAATGTCCACATTGAAGAAATAAAGTCCATATGGGTCAAAATTAAGTCCGAGTATGATATATACATCCGAGATCGTGAATCCGAGGGCAATGGAGACGAAGAGTCGGGTGATGAAGACACAGCTTCTGAACTAGAGACAATTCGGGCTAAGTACAAGACGACGTACCTAACTTACTGTAAGTGTATATCCCAGTTGTCTCAGATATCCGAGGAACTACAATCGGCTTCAATTCCAAAGGAGTCTCCCGTGGCTCCCAGTCCAGTTCCTACATCCAATCCTGAGCAGGTGAACGCAGGATATTCTTTCAATTTACCGCCATGTGATACAGAGGTCTTCTCCGGGGATTATATGTCATGGCCCACATTCCGAGACATGTTTACGGCTGTGTACATAAAAAATCCTCGCCTCAGTCCAGTTGAGAAATTATTTCATTTAGTTCACAAGACCAAAGGCGAAGCAAAAGAGATAGTTCAGAAGAGTCCTCTTACTAATAGTGGTTTCAGCCAAGCGTGGTCCAGCCTGTGCGATCGCTACGAAAATAAGCGAATTCTCGTAAATGGCCAGCTTAAAGTTTTATTCAACCTTTCTTCCGTTCCTTCTGAATCTGCTCAGAGTTTAAAACGCCTCCAAAGAGACATTAATTCATGCATCTCTGTTCTCGAGACCTACGATATTGACGTGGCTAGCTGGGATCCCATTTTTGTCTATCTCTGTTCTAATCGTCTACCTGATTCCACACTTACTCTTTGGGAGCATACCCTCTCGGACAAGTCCAGTATTCCACGGTGGGCGGAATTGGACACATTCCTAACAAATAGATATCGCACTCTAGAGTCTGTTTCAGAGATGCGAAAAGGTGTTTCAGGTTCAAGCCAAAAGGAAGGTTCGTCCGATATAAAGTCCAAAGCTTCCAAAAAGTTTAGTTCGTTCCAAAGTAAGGTCTCTGATCCCAAATGTCCGTTGTGTCCAAACGAGGCTCACATAATTCGCAAATGTCCGAAGTTTTTAAAAATGAATTATGATGCGCGCATTTCTGAGATCAAACGGCAAGGACTGTGTCTCAACTGCTTTTCAAAAACGCATTCCGTGAAAAATTGTCCTAGCAAACATAGTTGCTATACATGCAATAAGCGCCATAATACTCTTCTGCATAGAAACTCTGTTCATTCTTCTTCCTCCTCAGCACCATCTACATCTAGCCCTGCTCCAAATTCAAACCTCAATCCCAGCTCCGCTCCATTTTCACATTCCGGATTACAGTCCACTAGTAGCGGAGTGGGGACTGTACAAAATTATTTTTCTGCTAGTGTTCAGGGGGTATTGCTAGGTACGGCGATGGTACAAATTGTTCATAATGGTGTGACATATTCGGCTCGGGCGCTCTTCGATTCTGGTTCCGAGGGAACTTTTATTTCAGAATCATTGTTTAATAAACTTAAATTGCCTCATAAGCGCACGAGAGCTCAAATTTCAGGTTTGAATGATTCTAATTCTGCCAGCGTACGTAAACAGTGCTCTTTCATTCTTTCTTCGCAATTTGACCACAACTTTGAATTAACAATTACTGCCTTCGTAATTCCTAAACTTTCGGGGAATCTGCCAAGTCATTCTATTCCGACTGCTTCGTTCAAAGATCTTCCAAATATTTCATTGGCTGACCCTAACTTCTACAAGAGCTCACAAGTTGACCTACTTTTTGGCAGCGATGTGCTGCCAGCCCTAATGCTTTCTAATTCAAGATCAGGTATATGCGGCTCCCTTCTGGCCCAAGAGACAGTCTTCGGATGGATCTTGACGGGCCCCATAGGTAAGGATTCGTCCAGGGTCGTCAACATAATCTCTAATTTTTGCGAAATCTCGTTGCATAAAGAGATTTCACGCTTTTGGGAGGTGGAGAATCTTCCAAGGAAGAACTTCTTGTCCCCACCCGATAAATTTTGCGAAGATCTTTTCAAATCAACTACGACAAGAACTACTGACGGTAAATACATGGTTCGTTTGCCTTTTAAGGAGACTAATTTTAATGGCGAAGGTTTAGGACATTCCAGGTCCAGTGCTATGGCTCAGTTCTATAGGAACGAAGCTCGACTCTTGCGTACTCCCGAGTTAAAGAAGGAATATGATCGAGTCGTTCGGGAATACTGTGATCTAGGCCATATGCGCTGTATTCCCCATTCTAACGTTTCATCCGGTCCTAGTTATTATTTACCTCACCATGCCGTCATCAAACCTGAGAGCGTATCTACAAAGGTCCGGGTAGTATTTAATGCCTCCTCTCCTACTTCCAGCGGGTTAAGTCTCAATGATATTCTACATACGGGTCCAATTTTGCAATCAGACCTAACCTTGTTAATTTTGAGGTGGAGATTCTTTCGCTTCGTTTTCAATGCCGACATTGAGAAAATGTATAGGCAAATACTAATTCATCCAGATCATGCTAAGTTCCAGATGATCTTATATCGTTCAAGCCCGGATGAGGAAATTCAAGACTTTCAATTACAGACAGTGACATTTGGGGTCAATTCCGCACCTTATCTGGCGATACGAGTACTGCACCAGTTAGCTGAGGATGTTCGTTCAGAACTTCCTAGAGCTAGCGACATTCTTCGCAATTTCATGTACGTTGACGATGTACTCGGTGGGGCTCATTCTATTACTTTAGCCCTACGTTCTATTCAGGAGTTGCAATCAGCTTTGAAGTCCGCTGGATTTTCTTTGCGAAAGTGGACATCCAATTTGAAGACAATTCTGGCCGATATTCCGCCTGAGCATCTCCTTCGACAGGACTTTCTTGAGTTCGAAGAAAGTAGTACGGCCAAAATGTTAGGCATACGATGGGATGCCCATTCAGATTCTTTCTTTTTCACTGCCAAACCATTTTCTAATCCGTCCACATATACCAAACGTGTACTTCTGTCGCATATAGCAAAATTGTCCGATCCAGCAGGTTGGTTATCCCCATGTGTGGTTTTGGCAAAAATTATGATGCAGAAGATTTGGGCCTCTGGTATCGGATGGGATGATTTATTGTCTCAAGATATTGTTTCCGATTGGTTGCAATTCCAAAATGATTTTCCGTCCATTGATAAAATTCGAATTCCGCGCTGGATAGATTTCACGCCTACAAGCAATATTCAATTTCATGGCTTCTGTGACGCGTCAGAGAGCGCGTATGCAGCGGCCTTGTACATTCGTATATCCTCTGGCGCATCTATTTCCACGCACCTCCTATATTCCAAGACAAAAGTAGCTCCATTAAAAACCCTGTCCATTCCAAGACTTGAGTTATGTGGTGCTGTCCTCCTAGCTGAGATGATCGATAGCATTCTTCCGTCTTTGGATGTCCCGTCCTATTCCATATACTGCTGGACGGACTCCACAATTGTTCTTTCGTGGTTGGCTAAACCACCTTGCTTCTGGAAAACATTCGTGGCAAATAGAGTTTCCAACATTACTCAAATTGTTGATTCATCCAAATGGCGTCATGTTTCTTCTGAGACAAATCCAGCAGACCTGGCAAGCAGAGGCGTTTTCCCGTCAGACCTTGTCGGTAATGACTTATGGTGGCGGGGACCTCATTGGCTGCGCGAAACATCGAGCACGTGGTGTGCAACCGCTATTTCAATTTCGGACACAAGTCTTGAAAAGAGGTCCATTCAAGTCAACTTTGCCTATTTTTCTGATTTCCAAGACGTCTTAGAAAGGTTTTCATGCTTCAGTAAAGCTCTTCGTGCCCTCGCTCTGGTTTATAGATTCATATCTCGCACGCATCATGGATTTCGTACTAATTCCGTTCACGTATCGGGCCCTTTGACTAGCAATGAGCTGAATCTAGTGAGAAATCGTTGGATTCAGTTGTGCCAAAAGGCTTTCTATCCAAATGAATACAACGCACTATCCGCCAAACGTCAAATTCTTGCTTCCAGTTGTATCGGTAATTTAAATCCTTTCCTAGATGCTGACGGAATAATTCGTTCATGTGGCCGCCTTTCATCCTCTGCTGGCCTATCTTATAATGAAAAACATCCAATCATTCTTCCATCCAATTGCCATTTCTCAAAATTGCTGGTTTCTTTCGTACATTCTGTTACTCTTCATGGTGGTAACCAGCTAGTTCTGCGAGTAATTCGGTCTCAATATTGGATTCCCAAGGTGAAAAATCTCATCAAGGTCACTATTAACAAGTGTAAAGTTTGCATCCTTTACAAGAAACGTTGTCAAAAGCAACTAATGGCTGCCCTTCCTCCAGAAAGGACCGAGCTTTCTCGCCCATTCGCACGAACTGGTCTAGATTTCGCTGGACCATTCGATTTAAAAACATATAATGGTCGGTCCTGTCGTATCACTAAAGGATACGTATGCGTTTTCGTTTGTTTCGCAACGAAGGCTATCCATTTAGAACTCACTTCGGATCTTTCCACATCCACGTTTCTTTCAGCGTTTCATCGCTTTGTTTCACGCAGAGGTTGCCCGTTGCATTTGTATTCCGACAATGGGACAACATTCGTAGGGGCTTCGAAGATCTTAGCCCGAAACTTCCTGCAAGCCTCTCGCGACGGAGTCACCGCCTATTATGCTCTACAAGGACTAACTTGGCATTTTATACCTCCGGGTGCTCCCCATATGGGTGGATTGTGGGAAGCCGGAGTTAAGAGCTTCCACTTTGTTGTCCCGCATAGAAGCTTGCCTTAATTCCAGGCCATTGTCACCCATTTCGCAAGATCCTTCTGACTTTGCTGCCTTAACTCCCGGGCATTTCCTTATTGGGACTCCTATCCTGGTTCCCGTCGACCCTCAAATTGATACTTCTTCCACTTCCATTCTCAATCGTTGGGAAAAGTTGAAGGCCATTCACCAGACTTTCTGTTCACGATGGAAAAACGAATACTTGCGTGAGCTTCAGAAACGCAATAAATGGCAAACTTCCGAACCTAACGTCACCGTCGATTCTTTAGTAGCTGTCTTTGAGGACAATCTTCCACCGAACGCGTGGCGTCTAGGACGCATTTCGAAAGTATATCTGGGTTCAGACGGACGTGTACGAGTCGCGGATATAATTACCCAACGGGGAACTATAACCCGGCCAGTCACGAAACTCGTCTTATTATCCGCCCAAAACTAATACTTTCTTCCATCCAATATGTTCCTGATTTTTAATCTGTAACATTTCGCTACATTCGTTCCTTCTACGCCAAGTAGAACACAATGTCCAACAGATCGCCATCCCGTGCACGATCAGTAATTCGTTCCAGCGTGGAGAAGCAGCGTCCGGCATATTCTTGCCATGTATGTAAAAGTCGCCATCCGTTACGCCTCTGCAGAAAATTTCTCGGAATGAGCATCTCGGGTCGTGTCAGCGCTGTCGAGAAATACAAATACTGCAGGAACTGTCTTGCACATGAACATTCTCACGGCAGTTGCTTCTCATCGCAGGGTTGCAAGAAGTGCCACAAGCGGCACCATACGTTGCTCCACTCGTCGGCTGAACGTACCCAACGTCAGCGACGCCCTCAAACCGAAGATCGCTCCCAACCCGAAGGTCGTTCCCAATCCGAAGGCCGTTCTTGCCCCGAAGTTACGCCATCGACTTCCCGAAGCATTTCCCACCAGACGCTCTCCTCGTTTATGCGCCAAAACACTGTCGTCTTAGTTCCCACAATAGTCGTATATATATCGGATGGAAAGATACAATCGACAGCGAGATGCCTCCTAGATTCTGGATCTACTATCAGCAGAATATCGAAGCGGTTTACCGACTCTATAAAGCTGACCACGCTCACTTTGGACCCAGAGTCATTATGTCCTTTGACTTTAACTTCGAGGTTCGATGCCGAGCGGCATATCGACGTCATGCTAAGAGTGAATAGTCGCATGAACCTCAAAACGCCTTCTAAAAATCTGCCCGCCGACGTCAAGGAGAATTTTATCAACTTATGTTTGGCAGATTCAAACTTCTTTGAGCGATCCACAGTCGACATTATCATTGGTGCCGACATCTATACAAAGATAGTTTTCGACGGTTCGATCACGAGGCCCGGACTGCCAACAGCCCTCAACACCATATTTGGCTGGGCAATTTATGGACCACATTTGTTCTAGCCGATATTTCTGTCCTGAAGTAAAAATTTGTTGATAACATAAAATATTTTGTTCTATTCTGAAGTAAAGTAATGAATTCCGATGAAAATTTTGCACTATTTTGTATTTATTTTTATTCTTGCGAACGAAACACAAACTTTCCTTTTCAGCTACCATTCAGATTACGTTGTAATCCGGAAAAGTACACACGACATGAACTTGTCCTCATTTCTTTCATTGCAGTGTAACTGCAAGGTGGGCGGCGATGTTAATGTCAATACCGTGGGTGAAAGGAAAATATCCTAACTTCTGGCATCTCAGGTTTTCCTGATTCCTTTTCAGTGATTTTCCTCACAAACACTTTGACATTGCCGCTTACTTATCCGTATATGTATGCGTTCTGCTTTCATTTTCGAAACATGTCGTCTGTGCTTTCACGGACTTTTTCTTTTTCTCCTTTTACTTACTTACAATTCAACCATTGTTACAAGCGGTAAGAATTCGTTTCAACAAACCTAAAAATTTTCTTTCAATAAAGGATATTTCTATTGTTTAATTCAAAACTCTAATCCTTTTGTGTTTTTATTCCATTCTTTTTTTTTCCTATACATCCTGAAATCCATCTGGGAGAAATATTGTTTTTCCACCAATATTTCTTTGGTTCGGTTTCTAAGCGCCTTCATTTTCTACAGGAAAATTACCGACGAATCCCTGGTATTTTCAGTACCATTTCGTATTATGTGAACGGTTAGAGCTAAAAACGAATGGGAATGGGAATCAAGGTTGAGGAATCAATGTAAGGAAGTAGTTTTGGAAGTGTGTATTCACGTATACTAAAAGTACTAAACGTTACTAAATTTAGTACAGTTTGAATTTGGAGTAACGGATGGAGCTGGAATCCTAAAAATTGAAATTAAGATTACTGAAGTTTAGGATTGGGATATGGAGGTAGTTTTCGAATTTTTTACTTATTTGCACGAAAAGTACTAAATTGTACTAAATTCGCTATAACTTAGGTTTGGGTGAACCGATAGATGTGGAATTCTGAAATTTAGAAATAAAATTACTATTGCATTCTAGGACTGAGGATTGAAGATAGTTTTTGAAATATGTACTTATGTGTACTAAATTTGGTAAATTTATATATGGATAAACCGAAATACGATACTTGAAATGAGAGTCACTGATGAAATGCAGGATAGAAGTACCAAAGGGTTTTCGGAAATTCAAAATATAAGTTTGCGAAAAGTTCTGAAATGTTACTAAACCTCTAAAATCGTACCATTCGGTATTGTTTGAAGGAATAGAGCCAATAACTTCATACTTCGTATGATAATGAAGGTTGGAAAGTTAGTTTTATACATGAAGTTGGTTGTGGAAATGTATTACTACAAATGCACAAAAGGTACTTAATAGTACTATATTTGGTACAATTTGGTTGTTTCCTATACGGTGTCTAGGATGGGTAGATGTAGTTAATTTTGGATATTCATACTAAATGTAATAAAGTTTGGTATTGGGTGAAGGGATAGAGCGGAAATCCTGAAATTTGTAATTGAGGCCACAGTTTGTTTCAATGATGTTGAAATAGTTTTGGGCCAAAAATTTGGATGTGGGTCCATTGTGCAATGGTTTTACTAATATTCTTCCCGGCAAACTAAAAAAGATAAGATTTAAAAGACTTGTTGATGTAAAAGCTAAACATTTTTCTATTGCGCTATCCGATGTATGAAGTATTGCTTAAAAATTTCTCAAACTGAACAAATTGTTCGTTTTGAGTATTTAATCTAAGAATATAAGATTTTAAGGTGGACTTTTCGCTGGCGAAGTAGTGGGCACTTGCTAGTGTAATAATATTTATTCAGGAAGAAAATTTGCAGAATAATATCTCTAGCTTTCGAACAAACGGAAGTAGGTTGATAAAATTTTGTTAAAATGCATTTTAGGTCCGTAGATTTTTTGGAATTAAAAATAGGCCAATGTGGACCTACATTTTAATATAGCCTCCATACATCTTTACCGCCAGACTGAAGGTTTTTCGGTGGTTTAAGGCATATTTTTGAAAAGAATTTGCTGCAAATCAAAACATCTCTGAAAAAGATCCAAGTTTAGGTATACCCTTATGTTTTCTATTTTGAAAATTTGACTAATATTTTTCACCGGAATTGCATCAAATGTGGCATTTTGGGTAGGTTATGAATACCACTTTCACTGGCAGAGAGTTGATCTTCTAAATCAGCATCTTCTTTTAACCCGTATATGACGGTATCTCTCTATATTCCATATTTTTATAATTTTAGCCCCCATAAATTTTGGCGACATTTTATACTCTCATATTCATACAATTCGACCTACATTTTTATTAAAAGAAGATTAAAACAAAGGGGGACTGTTCATAAGAATTTGCTATAAGGGAGGAAAGTCATAAATCCATATCATTAAAAATGATCTCAGTATTCTTGTCGATGCCTGTCATTATTTCCTCTCAACAGTTTGCATTTTTTGTTCTGTCGCTTCAGTAATCAGTATTCGGTTCGAGTTGTTGCGTGTCTATTGTCCGTGTTTGTAATTAAATAAGCCCAAAATGATATAAATCATCATCGACATTCAAGTTTCCTCCGGTTGCTTACCTTTCCATGTAGCATTACAACAAATTCTACTCTACAACACAACTACAGCCGGCAATATCTCCAACGCCATCACCGCACCGCCACCACCACCACCATCGCCATCATCATCATCAGCAGCAGCATTTAGCCGGCGGCTACTACATTGCTGAAACGTTCACTCTGTCCCTCACAATTTCCCCTTTACGACATTTTGCCAACGCTTTCTGCCGTTCGCTATCATAAGCAACATATTTGAATTGCCTTGGGCTAGGCAAAGAAGAACTTGTGATAACTTGGCCCGGGGCAATATTTCAAACAAAAAAGCCGCCGGGCAAACAGATGTAATTATATAACATAGAACGAATGAAAGAGCGAAGGCACACACTCACACACAAACACAGCCAAACCTACAAAGCTAGCCGAGGCAGAATATCACAAATAAAGGAAGACGAATAAACACACAAGTATGAATCGACCTGCCAACCAACCGCCCAGCCGAACACGCACATCACTGTCGACAACCCATTCCAGAGTTTTTGGCAACAAACCAATTTTTCATTTACCTTCTTCATGCACATCGTTGTCGCCATCGTCGTCGTTCGTCATCATCATCATCGTCGTCAGTTTCAGCATCGACGACATTAATAACCATCACCAACACCAATGTCAGTCATATCGTCAACAATATCATCACCAGCTCCAGCTCCACCTCCACAACATCATTCAACTATTGAAATGGCAGCAATATATGGAATGGATGGCGACAGCAACGGCGGCCAGAACAACTCGATACTTGAAAAGCAAGCGAGTGATTGTTTGGCTAGCGGAAGGGGAGCCCGCTGTAGCTGTTGCTCCTCGCCCATTCGATGGCTATAAAAAATTAACAAACTGTGTGCAGTTCAACCCCTCAATCCAATTCCTGCTGTTGCTTGCTATCTCCACTCTCTCTTGCCTCCTACCCGCCGCCTTCTTTCTGGCAACGAAATGATGAACGAAACAAAAAAGTGCCCGCCGGTGATAATTTCATTCACATTTAAAACTATCTCTGAAGCTTATTTTAAATAAATTGTTAGCAGGCAAGCAGCCGCACCAACCAGCCAGCCAGCCAGCCAATCAAACAGCCATGCAATGAATGGCACCGTCATCTTCATCGACATTTACGACAATGTGGCAGTTGTTTACGATTTCAAGTGGGGGCTTTATGGGCATCGTACGAGTTATTCTGTAGCGATTTCACGGGCCATAACATCTTCGGCGGATGTTCGGACAAATAGCTATATAATTGGTTTTTGACGGGATCATATGTTATCAAATATGTAGGCGAGAAACATTGAATATTTGTACGGCAGGGCAGTTAATTGTGATATATAAACAGTAATCAGGGTGTCATAAAAAGAGTGGTTTCAATTTTAAGGTATTGCGTACTATCTATATTATTGCGTATCTATCTATATTATATTAATGCTGTAGTTTTACAGAAACTTTAATTGATTAAGCTCTTCGCTAATATCTCCTAATTTTTAATCTATAATAAAAACTCTTACAAGTCGGCTTAATTAGTTCACATATCGGAATATAAGGTGCAGTTGATAATTATGTCTATGCCTGACCTCACACACTCATATTATCATATGTGAGGTTCGAATCAGAGACAGAATGGTTCTGTTAAGGTTATTAATATTGACCTCATGTTAAGATTAATATATTTTTTGAGCCTCATGAAGTGAGCTTTAATTGTTTATTTTTTTTTTATGAGCACGGGTTTGCTCGTTTTCTCCCGGTGGTGATTCTTGGTCACGACCTCTAAGAGTGGGAGTTTAAAGGTGGGAGCTCTCCCGAGACATTCATGTTTTAAAACTTAGAGTGGACGACTAATCGCTCGAAATGGAGTAAAACCTTAATGCAGGAGAAAAGTCAAGTAAAAAAAATATTTTTTCACTCGTCCCACAGCTGATAAAATTATTCCAGTGACAGCTCATTATATTGTTTACAAGCGCACAAAAGCATTTTGGTGAGAATTTTCCAAAAAATAAAAAGTTATTCGTGATGAAATTCAAGCGTGATTTCTTTTTATTTGGCTGGAAAACCACAAGTGGCTATCGTTAGAGCACTCCAGCATTTAAATGTGAATAAATCTTTTGTGTCTCGTACCGTCGCTCGTTACCGTGATACCGGTAGCGTAGCCCGACGTCAAGGAAGTGGACGGAAGAAAACAGCAACATCAGCAGAAATGGTTCGAAAAAAAAGAAGCGATTTTATCGAAAACCGCGTCGCAGTGGCCGAAAAATGGCTCGTGGCTGAACATATCGCAATATTCCATTCGGCAAATATTGAAAAATGAGCTCGGGGTAAAGCCATTGAAATTTCAAAAAGTGCAAGAACTTACACCGCAACAGAAAGAAAATAGACTCAAAGGAGCTTAAGAGTAGCTTCGCTTGGCCGAAAGTGTTGAACTGTCGAATTTGGTTTTCTCCGGTGAGAAAACACTCTTTGTCCAACAGTTTGTAAACAAACAATACGATCATGTTTACTTGCCAAAGAGGTCAGCTGAAAATATGCACCTTCGGTTGGCCACCAGAACTTAAGTGCCGGCCATGGTGATGGTGTGGGCCGCCATAACAGCCGATGGTCGCTCTCCACTCGTTTTAATCTCCCGTGGCATCAGAATAAATGCCGAATATTATCGCGAAAATATTCTGGAGGGTGTACTAAAGTCTCGGGCACGCAAACATTTTTAGCGCAGGCCTTGGACATTCCAACAGGACTCAGCAGCATCGCACTCAATACGCGCCACCCAAGAATGGTTACAAAAAAAGGTTCCTCGCTTCTCGCACAATGGCCACCAAAATCTCCGGTTACCAATCCGTTGGACTGTTGTGTCTGAGGTATTTTGGAAAGGTTGGCACTCAAATAATACCAAAGTGTCGATCACCTCAAGCAAGCACTTCGCCGGGAATGGGCCAAAATACTGCAGGGCAATATTCGGGCAGCGTGTGACGGTTTCATTGGCCATAATTCGTGCTAAAGGTGACCAATTCGAACAAATCTAAACTTATTCTAAAATTTAATGCTATTTCCGACATTTTTGGCTTTTATTCAATAAAATTTAAAAAAAAAATGTAAAAGTTATGGCGTGAATGAATTTGCTGTGTTTTTTTTATCTCACTCCGTACTCCTAGGATTTTGGCTCTTAAAACTGGTATATATCGGCATAAATTTAAATTAATATTTAGGATTTCATATACACACTTTTTTGGAGCTCTTTCTAAAAATGCTTTCTTAGGGATCGAAGAGCGAAAAATTAGCCTTTCTGCAAAAATATTACAAAAAAACCATTCAGAAGAGGGACCGGGTTCCCGGGCCCCCTGCCTTTGAATGTCCCATTAAGCTAGGTATTTGGAATAGCCCCCTTATATCAGTACTATCGGATTTGTAGTATTTTCAGCATTCTACGCAAATTTCAAACAAATTAGTTGTAATATTCATGAAAAAGGATACAAACCGCAGAAGTTTGGGTCCATTTGTATGTACAGGCCTCATATAGGTATCTTCTAATATCTGATGTTTCAAAATATCTTCAAAAAATATTCAGCATTTTGGGTTTCTCAGATCGCTTTCCACACATTGTAGGGGCCACACATTATAGGGCAAATGATTTTGCCATAATCCCAGTTTTTTTTTAAACACAGTAAACTTCTCTTTCGATGGAGTACCATATTTATGTGTTGATGGCCAAATATTACATTTTATGCAAATTGTCAATTCGTTTTACTGTGCTTTGGCATTTATATCCGGCAAACACTCTTTCACACGTACAAACAAACAAACACACACATACACACACACACGCTCGCCCCACAACTACTCAAATAAGGCTCATACAAATCCATATAATTCTTTTTAATAAAAATTGCTTTAGGAATTAGTGGAATTGTTTTAAGATATGAACAAGCGCAACACAAAACAGCAACAGCAACAACAACGCCGACAACAAAAACAGCAAAAACCCCCACTGTAGGTAGGGTGTATGTATGTATGTATGTGAAACACATTTTTATTGGCCGCCGGCTATACATACAAAAAATTCATATTCAATATAAACACACAACAATTTTAAAAATTCAAAATATTTCAAATTAATAAAAGTGAGGAGGCATTTATGTGAGTGTTCATGTGTGTGTGTGTTTTTGTTTTCTTTATTTGCAGCAGAAAAAAAGAGCAACAAAATCAAAACGCATTTGCCAGCACCAGCCAGAAGTATGACGAGGAGGCGGAATTCATAGGAATTTAACAACAAAAACAAATAGACAACGTGAATGGTGAGATCGCTCCCCCTCTCTTACACTTCTACTCTATGAACTCAAACACAGATGTAGATGGGCACTGAGTTGAATGGGAGTTAATTGTTTTGGCCATTTGCTGCTTACTCTTCGTTCGGTCGTAATCTTTGGTGGTTCAATTAGCGGCAACACTTAAACCGGAAATAGATTATTGCCACGATACCTACCAAGAATAGCGGCAGCCCAGCCACGAAAGACAAGCACATCGAACACCACCACCAACACAGACAACGTGTTGAAATAAATACGCGCGAAAAAATCTCAAAAAAGTAACAGGAAAAAATCACCCATTAAGTGGTAACAAGAGCAACAACAACAACAACGATTAACCCGCTATGAACAATACCACTAAGCACATTTGAAACTTGCTGTAGACAACGTACAGCAGAGTTAGCCAAGGAAGAAGGAGAAGGAGGAGGTTAAAGGTGCAGGATGAAGAGATAATGTGCCAAGGTCGTCATTGTGGGTACGATTACTGCTGCTGCTGCTGCCGCTGCAACTGGCTCTCTCTCCTGCTGAAACACAGATGTACGTACGAAACAACAACCAGAAAAACACAACATCAACCCCACATCATCCACAATTAGCAGTCATCGAACAAGGTGGCAAGTTGTAAAACAACTTCAACTAAAGACAGAGCGCAGTCTCTGTGGCGTGTGGCGCTCAGTCATTCTCTCTCCCGCAAACAAGTTTGGGCAGAGCGTAAAGTTGAAGTTGTGTTCGGCCTCATACATTCGTTGTCGTTGCGTCGAACGAGACACATTCAACATTTCCAAACGTACAATCAGTTCGAAACGGACCTTCAGCGCGAATGCAAGTCAGGTAATTGTTCTAACGGTAAATTGTACAACACAGTTCACAAATTTGTTGTGGTTGAGAAGATCTTTGCTTTTGGCCAAGAAAACGATTCACTCACACACACATAACCTCTTGCACACAGTCGGAGACGTCAACAATCCAAAGTTGTGTCTGTGGCCGACTGTATGAATGTTGGAACGGAAACGGAAGTGAACAATTCCGACCATTGCTTTTTGCACTTCTTCGTCGCACACATACAAACGCGCACTATCATCAACACCAACACCACCACCGCCACCCCCTACTCTCATACCCCTACAAACAGATTTGAATGAAATGTGTTGCATTTGAGTTTCGAACGGTTCTTGTGTGCTGGCTTGGTGCCTCCATCACAGCTGTTGTTATCGGCATCCTCATTGTCATCTTCGTACCGTCGATGTGTGGTCAAAGCGAAATTCTGTGTGAAATTGTGAATTGTTCGTTAAATATAAAATCGAGTGTTTAGACTATTGAACTTGTTAGTTGTTAATCAGTTCTTGCCGCCTCAACAAAACATTGAATTCTTCACCAACCAAAATCGGTTCTTAGCATTCCGCTTTGTCATTATTTTTCAAAAAAAATTATCCAAAAAAAACAAAAAAGTGAAATCCACAACAAAGCGTGATTTGTTGCTGCTTCCGAAACGAAAACAAAAATCATCTAAAGTGCATTTGTTAAATATATTGTGAGTTATTCCAAAAATAAAATAAATAAAAAAGATGTGAAAAAAAATAATTGTATTAACATTTGAAAAACACAAAAACCAACGAAAATCTCATCAAAAAATAAGAAAACGATAATGATAGAAAAGTGATTTTGGGAATTTAAAAATTAAAACAATAAATAAGATTGAAGCTCTTTATTATATGAATATAATGCGATACGAAAAATTTCTCAATACGGATTTGAATTATTAAGGCTGCATGTTGAGTTGTGGCTCAATATCTATGAATTAGTTAAATCCAACTGCAATTAACTGCACAAAATTTCAAAACAAAAATTTTATGTTAATTGGCTTATAAAGAATAATGACGATTAACATGCATTTCAATATCTTGCTCTGTTTCAGAACGCCAAGAGTGTAAAACTTTTTGCTACGATAACAGATTTTTTGTTTATGATATCGGAAAAAATTACAAAACTAGTAGATTTTTGCAGGTTTTGGAGTATAGTTTATATTTTCAACCTTTTAGTCCAACAGGAGAATATTTATTTTGAAAATGTTCCACTACAAGCATGAATATATTAGGGTGGTTCGTAAACCGATGTGAATGTATTTAAGACAAATTCCAGTAAAATATGGTTTGAAGACAGCTGATCCCACAACTTAGACAAAATTAAATTTTCTTTCCAATTATAGATTCTAAAGGCGGATCCACATAAGCAGTGTGACATTCTTATTACAGAGTTTCCTGAGTCTGGAATTTATTTGTTCTTTCACCAGAAAATACTGCAGCACGAAGGACATAAGACTTATATGTCCCCGGCTTAAAAAAAAAGTTGTGAATAAATTTTCTGATGATCCTAAAAAATGTGAGACACTTCGGGTAGTAATAGCGTTTATGGAAAACCCAATATAGAATTCGTTTTATTGTTTTCCAAGGAACGTAATACAAATATTTCAAAATAGATATGCCCATGATTCCCTGGTAGAGAGTTAAAAAAGATCTGTCCGGGGATAGATAAAAAAGTTTGCAAAAATCAAGGAGTTTTTCAAAATATCTGGAAAATTATCTGAACATAATGGGCTGTTTTTATCAAAGTCTACAAAATTCCGTTCAAGTTAATATATGTGGGAACACACATTGCACATTTACACAAAAAATATTATCAATTCAAATCAGTCATAGAATGCGTAAAAATGGGTAATCCATGATTTATTTTAATTAGTGTTAACATTTCTCGTTGATTTCTTGAAAAACCTATGCTTGGCCATAATTTTTTTAGAAGAGTGGCATTATTCAATAATAATACAATTTTAGTTCTGAGAACTGTAATACACATCACATTTAAGAATTTATGTCACCAAGACTCTAACATGATAGGTATATGAAGTATTTTTTATTTATTTTTTTTTTTATAATTTCAAATTTTTATTTTTATAATTCAAGGTGTAATTTCCTTTAAAACTCTCTAAAACACATTTTTGAGTGAAGTCTAACCTTGAATAAATGTCAAATTTGATAATATTATTGGATATTGTAGCAGAAGACAGCAGTCTTTTTGACTTGTATTGAAAACTAAAAGAAGAACCCTCACGGTTGCCTTCTTGAATTTATTAAAATTTATTTGTTTTAGTTTGGTTCCCGAAATTTATACCCAAAATAAGGTTATTGTTAAAACTAAATTCCAAGTAGATTTTGTAATCGTTATTCCCTGTTGCTCATTATACAAGGTCTCTGACTTTGACCCTTGTCAGAGCAACGCCATTGGTCTTATTAGTAAGACCCTAGGATGTCCATATTTCAGATTTTTATTTAAAACCAATAACTCTAACGAAATATTGTTAGACCGACAACTCATTCCTTTTACAAAAAAAAAAAAAAAAATGAATAAATAAATAAATAAAAATAAAACAAAAAAATGAAGAAAATAGAAAAACATATTAATATCCCAATATTAATGATATTTTAAGCGGAAACCTTGATATCTGTTTGTAATGTAGTATATATAGAACATGAGTATTCCAATATTTACTTGAACTAAAAAATATCGGCTTAGTATTGCAGAAGTACGCATTTTTAACAGCTTTTTACAACATATATTCTCTTTCTTGGTTTCAGAACGTCATTTGTGGCATTGGATCAAAGATCATCTTTGACAGTGGAGTCTTCTTGTCCAAAAAGGTAAGTTATTTGAAATTTTAAAATAAAAAACCGAAATCCTGACCACAAATTTACAGGTAATATACATATACACGCTTCATTTGATCCCCTGAAATGGGGTTCTTCTTCAGACGAAACACATTTCGCATCATATAAACTCGATCGAAAATATCCCTCCGACTGTATATCTGTCTGGCATAAATATAATTATCATGTGTAGTATTGGTCTAAACTTGTCAGGTTATCAAACATTTCATTGTCATACTTCGATCAAACTGGTTCCACTGTAAAAAGGGAGATAATTAGAAAAATCACACATGGCACACTGTGTGGGGGGTCAGAATTCGCCGTTCTGTCCCAAGTTTAACCATATCGATCTACTCTTTATAGTACATACCCTACAAAGTGTCAAATAATAATAGTTCATGGAATCGACATTAAGATTTAAGCCCCATATCTACATGGGTGAAGTGTATATAGGCAAATTTTTCTCTTTCCAATTTATCTTTTCCTCATTCTAGTTTTTTTAATGGATGAAATAAATAAAGTCGTGGTTGAATTAAGATATCTTCTTCGTACATAATGCAATCATATTTTTACATTTTTTTTTTAAAATATTTGACATTTGACAACATCTCATTGTCAAAATATATATTTATAAATCCATTGAATATACATTTCTATGCTGTGAAATTCGACAAGGTAAATTACAGAAAATTCAAAATCTAAAATCAAGATAACCTAGTTTTAAATAAATAATATCCAGCTCTGCATTTTCTGTAATTTTGTCAAATGTAACTCCATTGAAATATGGTTTCCATCTCTAAATTGTGTATTTGAATGAAATTTTGTCAAAGTTATAACCTTGAACTCTCTGTCTTTTTCATTTGGGTATAGACCTATGTGAAAAAATTTCAGATTGCCAAATTCTTAACCTGAGGAAGAAACAACAAACATTTTCTGCTACCGTCGATTTTGGATGCGGGTTTAGAGGCAACAACTTTGCATCTTATTTGCGATGACCGTGAGCTTAATTACACATGCAAGTGTGTGAGTGTTTGTGTGTGTGTGTCCATATAGGTAGATAGGTGTATAGACGTTGTTTTGTTCCTTTTGCCAAATGGCAATGTCATTTTCAGCCAACTGCATTCAAACACGCTTAAATGTTTAAACACACACACACACACACCAATACAAATATATTGACACAAGACCAGCCACGCATTTGATAACATCTCCACTCCCAGTTTATATTGAACCCCCCCAACTACTTATGAGCCGTGAATGGACGACTACAACGATGCCTGTTGACAGAAAATAGCCAGCCATCTTACGGCAAAGTCACGTCGCGGAAATGCAAAATAAACGCTCCTGGCAATCGTATGACAGCAAAATCTAACCGAAATTCGTTAAAACGCCATTCACTGCCTATAACGATGTGCATTATCTGAGCAATGCTTGGCCATTGGTCAGTCGCTGCGTTGTCGTTGTCATGTGATACGCAACATAGAAGCGCTTTGATGAGCGATGATTTCCAAACCAATTCGGTGTGTGTCTGCGTTTCGGTGTACATTATGCGCCAAGGACTCGGCTACCACATCATTTAAACTGATTACCTGACAATGTAAACATCTGATGGAAACGAGATATTATCTCTGCGATAATACGCAAGAAATCGGAATTACAACATGAAGGGATTTTTTTTCCTTTGTTAGTCATGGAGAGTAATTCACAGGAGTATTCATAATTAAACCAATGATTAATCTGTCATTTAAGCTGAAATCATGGCACAAACGAAGGCTGTATTAGACGATGGTCATATAAAACAGTTCAACATGAAAAACAGAATAATATGAGGACAGCACTGAGTGATAGAAGGAACCAAAAAAAAAAAAAAAAAAAACTAGTTAAAAAGCGGTAAGTTCGGCTGGACCGAACTTTGAATACCCTCCATATTGGGGTCTATACGACGTGAACCTACATACGCATTGATTGTCATAAGCCGTTACCATATTCAAATTCGAAACTAGAAATAAACGGTGTATATTGTAGCTAAAATCATCAAAATACCGTATATAGGGAGGTACCGTTACATCAGAACTACACAAAGACCTGGACCAGTATAGACAATTTTCTGTCACAGCCTGTAGCATCCATTACGAACTTCAAATACGACATCTCAAACAATTTCCGTGAGTATCGTCAAAATACCGAATATTCGAAGGTACCGTTATATGGTGGCTATACAAAGACGTGGGCTGCAGAGACAATTTTCTGTCTTAGGCTGTAGTATCCATTTCGAACTTCATATACCAAATTATATACAATTCCGGTGAATAATGTCGCTAAAATCATCAAAATACCGAATATCGGTACAAACGGAATGACAAAATTAATATACTCTCCATAGTTTGGTGGAGGGTATAAAAAGTGAATTTAATTGGTATAACTGAGAGACAAGGGTCTGAAAATTTTCAGTAGCTTATCATGTAGTGATATTCAAATGACCAATATCAGTCCAAGTGACCTGAATTTTGGTACATCTGAACGAATTTAGTCTAGAAGCAAGTACATCAAACTAGGTGAAAATCGGTTCAGGTATAGCTATAGCTCTCATTTATATGTTTCATCTGATTTGGTCTTTAAGTCCCTCTCATTCGTAATATGCATTCGACAATTGAAATTTGGTACAAAAAATCAGATACAGCCCAGAAGTACCTCTGCCAAATTTTATCAAGATCGGTTCAGATTTGGATATAGCTCCCACATATATATCTTCAACCGATTTTGGGTTAAATTGCACCAAAAGGCCATTATCAGTCTAAATTTGGTACATCTGACCGAATTTAGTCTAGAAGCAAGTACATCAAATTTTATATATTTAAATTTATATGTTTCGTCCGATTTTGTCTTAAATTTCCTCATATTCGTAATATACATTCGATAACAATGATACTTGGTACCAAATAGCTCGGAAATGCCTTTGCCAAATTTTATCGGGATCTGCTAAGATGTGGATATATCTCCCATGTATATCCTTAATCCGATTTCAGGTTTATAATGCAAATAATGGCTAATATAAGACCCAATGGAGTGAATTTCGGCACCTATATTTTTCTAATACAAACCTATATAAAATTCTAATATCATGCACTCTATAACAATGTTATTTGGTATAAAATATAAAAATGTCTCCGTCAGATTTAGTGAAAATCGATTCAGACTTGGACATGCCTCCCATATATTAATTCCCTCTGAAACCAAATTATAACTGCTCTAAAGCCAAATTTTGATAGGTGGTATGATCTATTTCAAATAAATTATTTAGTTACGGGAGCTCAACTAAACATGCATAGTGGGGTAGGGTATCACATAGTCGGCCCGCCCGACTTTTGACTTTTCCTTACTGGTTTTGTAATATAGAATGTCCTAATATGCTTGATCAATTCTATATGATTGAAATATTCTGGTTGCGGTCATTCTCTATATAGAAGTGGGACCGAATCCGGTGTCAGTGTATTCTATGGAAGAAGTCTTCATTCGAATTAACTGAACTGAAAATCTATCACATCATGACATAAAAATGCATAATAAAAATAAAAAAGGCCTGCAAGGACCTTATATATGAAATGGTTTATTTCTTTTCATTCCCCATACCTTGAGGTATATTGTTCTTGTCCGCCTAACGTAGAGAATCCGAAATAACGCAAACAAATTACTTGAAAAACCATTCCTCCAGCCGTTTAAACATTTCTCCCTCTTCAAATTATCAAATGGCACCACTGATTGCTGTCAATTGGCCGAAATTCATCTTAATTTATAACCATTTGAGTGCAACATTTACAGCAATTGTGCGATCAGCAATCGAATTACAACAACAGCAACTACAACAAACGGCATTAATTCATTGCAACGCTCCCATAAACACGCCGTCATTCATACTCTTTTGCATACACTAACAAGGCTTAGCACACAGACACACACACACACATTCATACATAAACAACAACAGCAACAACAAACAACGATACAAGGAGACGAAATGGCCCAGCTAAATGGCCAACTAATTCAACGTGATTTTCGTGTGAAAATCTCGCGATTCGCCCCGGGGCGTAAATATTAAATACAGGCGAAAAAGACAATAAACAAACACACAAACTAGCCGGTTAGTCGGCCATACCAATCAGCCAACCAGTCAGCCAGCCAACAAACCCCAGCGTCACAGCGCCAACGAAGGGAGACTGAGATCGAAAGCCACGACGTGTAGCCACAAACAATCAACAAACAGCAGAACATCGACAAAATCTGCCGCAAATGACTAGCTGACTAGCTGACTGAATGACTGACTGACTCACTAACTACAAATGACTTTAAACTGTGAATGTTTTAACATTTAAATGACCAGGACCTGGTGAGGGAGTGTGTGCATGTTTGTAGGTGAACACACAACACACATTTACAAGTTGACACTGTGTTGTCTTGACCACGACAAAATTCCGCTTATGAGGACAACAAATTTCACACACTCACACGGACATCCGCCTCTAGACCCTGAACACTGTCGGCAGTTCTAGTTCCAATGCATGGATTCGCTGTGTTCTGCACTGGGCAAATATTCGCAGCATTGCACTCACTATCAGCGATGGCCCCGGCAGTAGCTGTAGCCAAAGCTACACCAGTTAAGCCAAATCCCACAAAACAATCCGAAAATATCGTCTGAATGTTGGTGGGGGAGGGGAGTACGGGGGGCACCAACGCCTGGTTGCCTTTTTTCGCATGAGCTTGCTTTTGTTTGCAAGACAAAAACACTGTCGCCCCCGTGGGCCATATGCACGCGGCTTATATCGTCACATCGTGCCCCCTTGCTACGGTCACGTTTCCCCAGCAGTTCGGCAATTGTCTTGCAATAGTTTTGTGCCGTGGCGAGTTTAGCGAGAAAACCTTTATACCGCCATTAGCATTAAATTGTTTGTGTGTGAAAATAAATTTTGTGAATTTGTCTCTATGCAAGTACATGTGTG